TAATCGCTCTTTAAGTGGTTCTTCAGAAACTCAAAGAGGATCAGTCAGTTTCAAAATATATTTTTCCAAATGATTTTCAAAGTGTTTTAAAATTTCGGGGGAAGGGGGGGGAGGAATTGTAGATGTTCTATAAACTTGCAACCAGCAGCTCTTCCTCCAAAACCTGCTCCTGGGCAGATACCATACAACACACCACGCTTTTACTTTGTTCTCAAAAGCATGATTTTTAAAAGACGTGATTTCTCTGAAGGATACCTCAGCTTCGGGTCAGTAATGGTTTGCCACTACCTTGACACCATCCCCCGCAGATACAGCTTTTGGTGCTGTTAGATCTGCAAATGACATAAGAGGGCAATGGCCATTGGTGTTTTGCAGACAGATGAATTAATCTATTTCCTGAACCTCTGTAAACTTCTGCATTTGCAAGTGTTGAGTAAGATTCACAAACTGGGAACACTAATTAATACATGTATTTACATCTCATTGCTTACTGTCTTCCTGCTGAGCTGACCTCTTTCATATTCAGTAAGAGCCGGAATCCTATGTCCACACACAGATTTTCAATATAGCTACCAAGTTTTGGGCAACTCCATGTATCATGTTATGCAAATTATGCCATGAACTAATTTGCATATTTGATTTGCATATAACCAAAGCTTCATCTTAAGAAAGTGTGTTGCTATAGTGCTTGTGAAAGGTATCAGACCAAAAGACCTGTGAATGATGCAGCACCAAGGCAAATTTCCCACGCACACTTGCCTCAACCTCGACTTGGAGGGAAGGATTTCAGCTAAGAGTAACGGGGTCATTTACTTTCCATGCCCTGTGCAGTTCTTGGCCCTCTGCTGAGTCTGCTAATTAGTGCAAAGCTTGATGGTGAATTTGTGATGTGGGACCAGGAATGGAGATCCACCAGCTCATCTCATAAGGGCCACCAGACATCCTTTAGATGGAAACCACTTGTAATCCCTTCTGATCTGGGCTGCACTCAAATTGGTGAGCTACAAATGAGGCATCCAGTCCCCCACTAAGTGCTAAATTAAGAGGGAGACCTATAGATAGGTGTTACATAAAAAAAAGAAAAGTTGAGAAACATTAAAAGAAAATAACAGAACGCCACTAGCCGTCACCTTCAGCCCCCCAACTAAAACCCCTCCAACGCATTATTAAGGATCTACAACCTATCCTAAAGGATGACCCAACACTCTCACAAATCTTGGGAGACAGGCCAGTCCTTGCCTACAGACAGCCCCGCAACCTGAAGCAAATACTCACCAACAACCACATACCACACAACAGAACCACTAACCCAGGAACTTATCCTTGCAACAAAGCCCGTTGCCAATTGTGCCCACATATCTATTCAGGGGACACCATCACAGGGCCTAATAACATCAGCCACGCTATCAGAAGCTCGTTCACCTGCACATCCACCAATGTGATATATGCCATCATGTGCCAGCAATGCCCCTCTGCCATTTACATTGGTCAAACTGGACAGTCTCTACATAAAAGAATAAATGGACACAAATCAGATGTCAAGAATTATAACATTCATAAACCAGTCAGAGAACACTTCAATCTCTCTGGTCACACAATCACAGACATGAAGGTCGCTATCTTAAAACAAAAAAACTTCAAATCCAGACTCCAGCAAGAAACTGCTGAATTGGAATTCATTTGCAAATTGGATACTATTAATTTAGGCTTAAATAGAGACTGGGAGTGGCTAAGTCATTATGCAAGGTAGCCTATTTCCCCTTGTTTTTTCCTACCTCCCCCCCCCAGATGTTCTGGTTTAACTTGGATTTAAACTTGGAGAGTGGTCAGTTTGGATGAGCTATTACCAGCAGGAGAGTGAGTTTGTGTGTGTGTATGGGGGTGAGAGAACCTGGATTTGTGCAGGAAATGGCCCAACTTGATTATCATGCACATTGTGTAGAGAGTTATACTTTGGATGGGCTATCACCAGCAGGAGAGTGAATTTGTGTGGGGGGGTGGAGGGTGAGAAAACCTGGATTTGTGCTGGAAATGGCCCAACTTGATGATCACTTTAGATAAGCTATTACCAGCAGGACAGTGGGGTGGGAGGAGGTATTGTTTCATATTCTCTGTGTGTATATAAAGTCTGCTGCAGTTTCCACGGTATGCATCCGATGAAGTGAGCTGTAGCTCATGAAAGCTCATGCTCAAATAAATTGGTTAGTCTCTAAGGTGCCACAAGTACTCCTTTTCTTGTTACAGAGTTGGGAACTTAAGGTTATCCATCAAGTCTTAATTTCACCACGACATTTCACCAGCAGTCTAGGAAGGTGGGACAAGGCATGAGTGTCCTATGAAATGCATGGCGCTTGCCTCGGTTTCTGTTGATGCCAATAGGTGAGTCACAGCTTCAAGCATGCTGGCACCTTAGAGAAAAAAGTTGGCTTCCCAACTTCCAATCCCAGTCAAGAGGGTCAACAACACTGGCAATATATTTAAATTAAAGAAATAAACCTATAAATCTCTTCCTTGAGGGCTTTCCCAAAAGCATAGGCTGGCATGTAAAACTTAACATTGTTCTAGCTCTTTTATTCTATTTTCTGTCTTCAAGGTGGTATGTTTGGGGGGGGGGGGTTGTTTTGTTTTTTGTCTCCACTCCATTTTATTATTCCCCCCCCTCCTTTCTGTGTGTTTTCTCTTTCCGTTTTATACCCCTGAGCCAACACTTTGGAGGATGCCATGCTGTTCCTCTTCCCACTTTCTGTAAAAGAGTTTGGGGTACTTTGGTGCCCCTGCAGTATGATGCCATAGGTTGCCATCTATGTCCCTTTGCCCTTAAACCAAGCCCTATTCCAACCTTAGGCTTCAATACTGTAAGCAGTTATTCATATGTAAGTACTGACATTAGCATCAACAGAGCTAGTCATGTGAGTAAAATTGTGTGTGTGTTTTTACAGGATCTGATCTTTATATATAACATAAGACTTCACAATTATGGCTTCAAAAATGAAGTGATTTAAAATCAGTAGTTACAGAAACTGATAATGACCTGCATGGGGGCTTTATTTTTTTTTTTGGACAATGGCATCAAATATTACAAGAGCACAGGTGAGTCTTGCTATGAAATTCCACTCAAGGAATTACCTGGGAATATCAAATCAGTTTTGAAAACCAATCTGATAGCACGGTCAGACAGGTAACGAAATCTCTTGGTCTGATTATTCACTTCCAGCACTTCATCAGTAAATGCTTTTCTTTTGCAGCTTCAGATTGCAGTGTTATGCTACCCCATCCAAAATGGATAGTGGTAACATGCCCAGCTAGAGAGACACATTTGATCTTACTGAATAGTACTAAATATATGCTCCACATTAGTGCTACCCCAAGGGGTAGGGAATTGAAGCATCCAAAGGCAACAACATAGATGCCACTGCAAGCCTCCTTAAGATCCATTTCCTGAGCAGTACAATAGATTGAAAACCCTGAAAGCCTTAATATGCTTTTAAAGTTTCTTGTTCAGTAAGGCTCAACGGAGATACTGCATCTGTTGTTAGTGTCAGCCCTGTAAAAAGTATGGGGGAGGAACAGGATTTTACTAAGAAATCAAAGGAGCTAGGAACTGGGTCTCCTGGGATCCGAGCCCTTTGCTCTGATTGCTACAGAGAGGATCTTTTAAAAAGGCCAAATTTCAACCACAGTTCAGGAAACTGAAGTTGATGCTATTTCTGTTCTGTTTTTTTAAATCCATTTAGCTGATTTCATGGGGCAGCGCTGATCCTTGCACTGCCTTTCGGAGAGTGTGAAGGAACCTGGGCCCTACTAAAACTTTTGACACCTGAACAGCTAACCTTTAAAATAGCATTAAAAGGTCAGCTCCTTAGAGCTGGGTTTGGAAAGATTTTACTTTAAACACAACTAGGCTCCCACCTCTTATAGCCTATGGGAGGTGTCTGAGCTTCCCCTACTACACCTACCGCCCCCAGCGCAATGTCCTGGGCCAACGCCTGCTTTCCTTACTTACCCGTAGTAACACAGAAGTCGGTGGACCTACTTGTGTGTCACTGAAGCACCTAGTCTTGAACCCCACACAGCACCAGTGCAGAAGCCACTCAGCCGAGGGGCCATCTGCCCGGGGATACAGATGAAATCTCAGCTAGGAGGACGCTGCTACTGGGGAAGTAGCTACAACTTTTCCAGGGCCTCCGAGCTTCTAGCTGCTGCCCTCTGGGGCAGAACGTGCGGCAGCAAAGGAGGAGCTGAAGAGAGCAAAGAGCCAAACCAACCAACCCCACAAGGGACCCCAGAAACACTCCCCGCCAGCTTTCCAGGAAATGAAAGAGAGGGACGCCTGTACATGCCTGCACCGCCAGGCTCGACCTGGACTGCACCGTGCCTTCGCCCCAGGCACACGCACCGCGCCCTCCCCCTTGGCGCGCACAGCCCCGTTCCTCCCCGGTGCAACCCGCTCAGAACCCGGGAATGCCACTAAGGATGAACATGGGCCACACAACCTGCAGCTGAGCTGCGCCTCCTCCTCCGTGCACACTGCCCCTGCACAATCCGGAATAGCGTCACCGATTTCAGTGGCTTCGTCCGGATTTACACCGCTGCAAGTGAGCGCACCATCAGGCTACACCTGACTTCCGCCGAGCTGCGCACACAGCCTCCCCCTGCCCACCCAACCCCTTGCTCTACCCCCCAGCGCTCTGGGCTCACGGGCCGCAGCCGAGCCACCCTCTCTCCTTTGCAGGCAGCCTCCAGCCGAGCCGCCGCCGCAGGCTCCCCCCCCAGGCGGGGGCGCACGTGCCACGAGGGGCCGGGGCGGGGGCGCATCTGGACGCGGCCAGCGGGGCACCGCAGGGAGCGAGCCTGACTGCGGAGCCGCTCCCTGGCCCGGAGCCCGCCCGCACCTGCCGCTCCCCGGGCGCTGGCCCGGGCCTCGCCGCCCGCTGCCTTCAGCTCACAGCGGCCCAAAGTCCTGCCCCTGCGCCGGCCGCTCGGGCTCCTCCCGCCCCTACCTGTCCCGGGGGCCGGCGGCGGCGAGTCCGCGCTCCCCTTCCAGACTTGGGCGAGTCCCGGCTGCGGCTCCGCACCTGCCTCTCGCACCTAATAACAAAAGCCCGGGCGTCAGGTGGCAAGAGACGGACTGGCCGCCCATTGGCGGGCCGGGCGAGCGCCCGCCGCGGGTTGGCCAGGGGGCGGGGCCGGGGCGCGCTGACGCCGGGGCCGGCGGGGCGGGGCGGCGCGGGGAGCGGCGCGCGGCGCCTTTGTGTTCCCCGGCCGCGGCGGGGCGATTGGCCACATCCGTCCTTGCGAGCGGCGGGGCTGGCGGGGAGCGCCGCGCTATGTCTCGGGCTGCTCGGGTGCCCGCTCAGGGGCCGCTTCCCACGCGCCGCGGGGCTTCCCCCCCGGCTCTGGCGTAGAGGGCGAGGGGAGCCGCCCGGGGCAGGGCTGGCCCGAGCGCAGGGGGGCGCCGAGCGGCGAGCGGGAGGGAGCCGGGTTCGCAAACCACCCGGGACGCTGGATTTGCCGCTGGCGCGGTAGAAGGGGGGCGCGGCAGCCGCGAGCGGCGCCTGGGCTTGCAGCCGAGCCTCCGTGTCTTTTTGCCGGGTAGCGCGCGGCGCGATGCTGCGGCTGGAGCTCTTCCTCGGCGTGGCGTGGCTGGCCCGGCTGGCGTGCGGGCAGAACGAGACGGAGCCCATCGTGCTGGAGGGCAAGTGCCTGGTGGTGTGCGACTCCAACCCCACCTCGGACCCCACGGGCACGGCGCTGGGCATCTCGGTGCGCTCGGGCAGCGCCAAGGTGGCGTTCTCCGCCATCCGCAGCACCAACCACGAGCCCTCGGAGATGAGCAACCGGACCATGCTCATTTACTTCGACCAGGTAGCGCGGGGAGCGCCCGGGCGGAGGCTGCCCGGGGGTCGGAGAGGCGGGCAGCGGGGAGAGGCGGTGGCCGGAGCGGGGTCTGTGGGGCAGTTGTTGACTGGGTGGCGGGAGGGGATAGATGGCGGAGTGGTGGCTTGAGGAGAAAGGCACGGTCCTGCCCTGGCCGCGTCCCGCAGCCCTGCGCCAGAGACCGGCGGCCGAGTTAACCGGCGGGCGGGCGGGCGAGTGGCCGCATCCAGCTGTTCCCCACGAGGGGAGCCGCTCCGCGGAAAAGCCCGTTAACACCCCGGCGCGGAAACTTTCCAGCGCAGCGCAAAGGGGGGCAGGCAGCAGCGGCGGCGGGGGCTGCGACCCAGCGAGGCGCGGGCAGGGAGCTTGCGAGCCCTGTCCCGGGGGAGCCGGTGCACAGCTGCGGGGGGTGGGCAGGACAGCTCCGGATGCTGAGCCGGGGAAGTCCAGCCCGGTGCCCTAACACACGCCCCTGCGGGTCCCTCCGCTCCCCCCCTGTGATGCTGATGTCCCCGTTTCCATTGCAGGTGCTAGTGAATATCGGAAGCAACTTCGACTCGGAAAGAAGCACTTTTATATCGCCCAGGAAAGGGATTTACAGTTTTAATTTTCACGTGGTGAAGGTGTACAACAGGCAAACCATCCAGGTCAGACTCCGCTCCTTTCTGCCTTTGCTCGCTGGGCGGTTCGGTTTGGGTTAGGAGCACTGGTCCCCGGCTCCAGAAAGGGCCCCAAACTTCTTTCGGCGTGGTTGAGCTAGAGCTGGTGAATTTATCTTGTGGGACTTGGCAGCGTCAGGTGTGGAGCGTTTCATGTCAGTAACCCAAGAAAATTCAGAGGGAAGGGGGAAATCAAGGGGCTAGACAGCGTTTCTTTAATCAGGGGTGGCTATTTAGGAGCTCTACTGTTGTGTGATAATATATTGATGCTTTATATCATGAGGTTGGGAGGAGGCGTTTTAAACAGAAAGTGTGAACTTTCCCTAGCAATATTTTCAAATAGGAGAGTATTGTGAAATCTGCTCTAACCCGTCTCGGGCCTTGCCGTGACCCCCTCTGGCGCATTGTTTGTCCTAGGATGGCTGAGCATATACCGGAGACAAATGAAACACCCAAAATGAGCGTTTACTAGTCCAAGCAATTCCTGCGTTTCCTATTCCTGCTGGCCGTGTAACGCAAGGCCTACCCGCGAACGACTAATCTCCAAGAAAACCTAAACATTGTGCGAGTAAATGCAATTTATCTTTGACCCAAATTATTAAACTCTTAAAAAAAAAAGACGTGGAAAAATGATATAATTATTAGGTTAAAATCAGTCTCTCTCTCTCTCTCTCTCTCTCTCTCTCTGGTTTGGCAAGGTGTATGGAACAGGGATTTTTTAACATTTGGTAATTGTACAAGGTTTAACCGATGATGTAGAAGGCTGGGGACTAAAGCATCTAATCTTGATACAGCAGATCTGTTGCTGAATGTGTGTGTATTGTATATGGTTTATACATTTATACTGTTATACAATACCTGCTGAATATAATCTAAATGGCAAATTACAGTTTATATATGTACAGAGCAAATTATTGTGTGTGTGTGTATATATGTATTCACACCATGTAATTTTTTATGCAGGAGCAGATTCGGCATGTAGTACATTATTCATGTGAGGTGTACCGTGCTTATTGACTCTGTGGTGGTACATTGTTTTTGCTGCCTAACAAAGGAAAACTACCTTCTGAATATACTCCAGAGGCATTGGCTGTAGCTGCAGCGGCACTTCTCTTCGTCCCCTTTTGAGGTTTCACATAAAGCCATCTTTCACTAAGTAGGGACAGACCTCTTCATACCCTTCAAGCAAAAGCATCCTATTGAAATTGTTCAAATCAGAATCAATGTCCTATTTCATATGGATGGTGTGTTTTGATGTAGGCTGTCAATCCAAAGCAGCAGTAAAAGATCCCCTTTCTTTAGAATGTGTACCCTAGCTGATATTAGATTTATATTTCTTTTCAAAAAATATCCAGAGTTTCATGTGACAAAAATAATAGAGCGACTGTTTTGCCTGCTAGGTGAGCCTGGGAGCAGTTATAAAGCCCTGGCTGTTATCCCTGTCTGATGTTAATTTACAGAGGGCTTTGTTTTATCTTGCTCTTTAGGTGAGTTTGATGCTAAATGGGTGGCCAGTGATTTCCGCCTTTGCAGGGGACCAAGATGTGACCCGAGAAGCTGCCAGCAATGGAGTCCTGATTCAAATGGAGAAAGGAGACAGAGTTTATCTAAAACTGGAGAGAGGAAACTTGATGGGAGGCTGGAAGTATTCAACATTCTCTGGATTTCTAGTGTTCCCTCTTTAAATAACTTATCATCTGAACAGAGAGAAAGCAGCAAGTCAGAGAATTTCTTACAAATTCCCAAATTGTAGCTGGGTATGAAAAGCCTTGGACAGCAAACTTTTTACATTCAAATATTAAAGAAGCTAAATCCTGCTTAGGTTTGTGTACATCTGCTTTGAAGAATTATTTTTGTTGTTGCAGCCAACAGATAGGAGACACTGTAATTGATCATATCTCCATTTATATTCCCCACCTTCCACCCCAAATTAGTTAAAATTTGTGTATCACTGGTGTAATTTGCCATAATTTCCCCAGTGGTTCCCATATCACACTATTTTACCTTCAGTATTTACACTGTTCTTCATATTTGGTAGTTTTGTTTTTAAAACGTGTTATTCTTGACTCTTTATCTGAGTTTAACATTTAAAAAAGTATTTTTGAGTACATAGTTGCCATGATGAAAGATAAATTGCAAATCTCACTGTATACTGGCTGACAAAAGTTTAAAAAAAAAAGAGAGAAATTTATACATGAAGAACTATTCACAGTGGAGGCTGACCAGAGTATTTCAATATTTCTATGTAATTCTGAGTGATTGTGGAATTTAAGGCTGCTAAATGTTTTGATGCTTGTCTAGCTCTTGTAAAATGTGGCCCAACTAAACTCCAGGAATTATATTGAACTTTTACTTTTATTCTGTAATATATGTGTGAATATCGAAAATTAATTTTTGCTTTAATTCAATAAAGTTTAAATGGGCTTTTATTATTCTTAAACAGAAAATAAGTTCTCTCAATGGAATTATTAGCCCCTTCTCAGGCTTAGAAAAAGTTTAAGAAGCTGCAGGCTCAAACACTTGTAATGGTGATGATCTGGACAATAAGTGAAGCAAAATGTAATTTTAAAGCTTGTTAAAATTTCCCCTTTTTTCCCGCCTCTAGCGCTGTATCCTCGATCTGTTATGCGCTATTTTAAATTGTATTAAAAGAGTTAATTTCAGCAGATCATCATCAACCAAACGCAATTTAAACTCTGTGGTTCAGATCGCCCGAGTGATTAAGTACCCCAAAGATGAAAAATGAAAACCAAACTCAGCTATCGCTGAGAAGTCGCCCACAGAATCTTAGATCTGTATTCTTTATACCATTGTCTGTATTATATTCTATAAATCAAATCTCATTTTATACAGCCGTCTAAAAATCTAACAATGTATACTTCGATGCTAGTATTATTTATTTGCTAGTATTATTTTGTTTACAGTCTTTGAAAGATGTAAATGTTATAATTTTGCAGTCCTCAAAGAGAATACTACTTTTATTAAAAAGGTACGTAAAGGATTTTGATTGTATCTAAACCTAATGTGAAATAAACCAGTGTAATAAACAAATGGACCTTTTTTTGACTGGAGGACTATCCACGTCAGTTTGATTCTGTGATGAGAGGGTGCAGATCTTGGATATAATAATATTAACTCAGGCTACGCACTGAATATAAAAAGATCTTTCTCCAGGACAAGCTAATACGGGGTTGGCTGCTACACAGTTAAAATCTTAGGCTTTTGTTGTTGTTGTTCAGCCCTGGGTTCCAGGAAGGAATTTAATTAGCTCCTGGGGGGAAAATTAATACTAGCATAATAAGCAACAATTTATTCATAGTTTCTGTCTTGGTAATAGTTTCATAGAGCGGGTGGGGACTCTGTAAAACCTTCCTAAAGTCCAGGCCACTCGCTTATTTTGAGTTTGATAGTTTTTATGGAGGTCTTTAATACAACTGACAAATGTACCTTCTCCTAGTAAGGAGAGCACGTTCGTTTATACTCGAGATCCTGCCAAGTAAAACTGAAGGGGCGGATAGATAGATTAGACAGACGGTCAATTTGCTTTCGGAATTTGAGTGAGATATCTGTAGGGCTTTTATTTTCAAATAAAACAAATCATCAGCTACCTGACAGCACCAGGGTTTATTTTCTCTGGGGGTGCAAAGAGCTAAAAGTGCCTTTCTCCCGCCGGAAGCCTGGGTTCTAGTGCCGGTGTTTAGTAATTGTACACAGGCTATCGCTTCTGTCCAGGTACCGTATGACAGAAAGGAAGGCCCAAGACACAAGGGTTTAGAACGATCGACTGGACGCTAGAAATTGCACGGGTAAGACTCGGCTGGAGTGGGTGCAGACATCGGTTCAGTTGTCCGGGATGTTGCAACGTTCTGCTGAGATTATCCACTTTACAGACTCCTTCTGAGCCAGCGAGTGACCATCGAGGACACCCCGGCCCTTCCTCTCCGCTCCCTCCCCCTCCTCACCACGTGTTATAGAAATGATGAACATCCCTAGCCTGAGAGAGACAAAGAAACTGGCTGGTTTTCATCCTGTGGTATAGGGGAAAGCTGCCACAAGCACTTCATTATAAACCCATCCAGATTCCTGGCATCAGCAGCCCCTGGCAAGGAGCCACAGAAGGGAACAATTGAAATTTATGAGGAAGGGTTCATGATGGAAGGCAGTGGGGTTGTTTTCACTTTGAGTTATAATTTGCACCAAACCGTTCTGTCTCTCTGTGGTGGGGGGCTCCACACGCCTGTCTTTATGAAACACACTTTATTGCTTTCCCCAGAAGCTTTTAACTGTTTCCCTGCCCACTTTCTCTCCCCTTTCCATTCCACGCCTTAGGCTGGTGGTTAGTACCCCTTTTTTTTATACAGGAGGACCCTAGAAGCGTCCCCTCCCCCTTTACATCCATGCGTCTTGCTTGTGATTTTCCTACGCCTCCGATCACCCCCTCAGCCTTTCTTTTACTTCACTTGGGCTACAGATAAATCATGAACTCGAGTCTCCAGGTTTTACGTCAACGCGTGACTCCATGGCCAACAGTAGCGGCTCCTTCACCCCTTGTGAGAGGAGAGGGGGTTCCTCGTTGGAGTCTTCCAGCAGCGACCTCTCCACTTTAGGCTAGATGATCAACAGGGAAGACAAGGCAAAAGTCGCAGACATTCCGGATTAAATTACAGGCCTGATCCTGCAGCCGACACTCAGACGCCGTATGGGTTTTGGTTGTGTAAAGACTAAAGGAGCCGGTCCTGTAGCTCATATGTGCTTCTCCCATAAAACTCCACACAGGCAAAGGCTGAAGCTGCTGTTTTACTCGAAGAACATAAATCGCCGTCTTCCCATGACAGTTTTCCCTGGTCGTGAGAGTCGCGTTCATATTGCACAGTGGGAAATGGTATTTCCCCCGAATGCAGCAAATCACCGAGCTTCTGCCATTAAAAACTCCCTGGTTGCTGCCCGGAAAAGTCTTGCTCAGTCAGTTTCCGTGCCATGAGCCCCACAGCTCCCCTGCACGGTGAGCCCCCTCCTGGCGATTGCACGGACATTCATTAGGCGGGCTCGGAATGATGATACTTTTATTAGTCCCCGTTAAGCAACACACGAGCTCAGCACGTCTTATGTATCCAGGGGTGCTGTGCTACAAGGAATGCTTACTGGGCCCGTGCCGCGGAAGGAAGCCCTTGCAGCGGCTGATGAGAATGGACTCAGTGGAAGGGAAGGTAGCACAAAGAGAGGAGGGGAGGAGGCAGGACTCTGGGCTAGTCTGGATTCTGGAAACCTTTCAAAGCCAACGAGTGGCAGTTGTGCAACGAGCCGAGCAAACACACACCCACCGTAGTGGGACTCCGCAACCCACCTGAGCCCCGAGCTGCGGCCACAGAGCAGCAGCTCTCAGAGCTGATTGGCAGCCCCACGTTATAAGGTGGCATGCTGATGTTTATGGGCACTCGGACCACAAACTCCGAATATTGACTCTCTAGTTCCCTGGCATGATCATGGGAAAACGTTCCTGGCTGCTGGATCAGGCATCTGTAACATAGTCTGGGCTTTTTTCCCCCTTCCTTTCGAATGGATCGTTGTAGGTATTTTAGCTTGGCAATAATGGAAGGCGAGTAGCAGACCCTACTTTCAAAAGGTTGATGTGAGATTTTTCCCAGAACGCCCTTTTGTAGGGCTTGTGAGTTGGCTGGAATATCAGAGTTTCTGGAAAAGACTAAAATCTGAGCTCATTCCAGCATATTGGCTCTCTCCATTTTGCATCATATTTTAGTCTCATTACATTTCTGGGGCTGGAATTTATGGTATTTGATTGCGACCACGTGTACTGGTGTGATATGGATGTAACTTATTAAAGAGCGGGGTGGGTATAGGCATATTATTTTCTCTGATTAGCTTTTAATGGATGTAGTGGAGACGAGAACAAGGAGCTTAGAAGCACTCTTTGAAACTTACTCAATGGATCAGCTCAAGGGACATGGAACTGAGAAGAAAAACGGCGACACTGCATCCTCAGAAAAGTGCATCTGCCCAAAGCATGGAGTAAGATCAAGGCTGAGGTGCTATGTGAAGGCCAGCATGGGATCCATATCTTTACTATTTTGATTTTGTAAAACGTTGGATCTTTTTACCAATTTCTCATGCTAGGTTTCTTAAATCCGATATTCTGAATCTAAGAGATTGCATTTCAGAGTAATACAATGATAATACTTTCCAAAAGCTTTACCTTACAACCTAGACTGTAAAAGAAAAATCCTTTCAATGATCACATTGAGTTCAACAGGAGTTGGATCCAGCCCTAAAAAAACTCTAGCCTGGGCCGCTGAAGTCACTGGGGATTCTGACATCCATTTCAATGGAGACAGGCTCCCGGCCTAAACCCAACTGTTCTTCTTCACAGACATTAGGCTGTGGAATATTCCTCCAAGGCTAGGGATGGGCAGCACCGTAGCCTAAGACCTACAGATCACAGTTCTGCCTGGACATATTTTTAGTTCCTATGGGTAAAAGTAACCCCCGAAGAAGAGTAAAGCTGAAAGAGAACAGAGATTTGTTTGTCCCTAATGTTGATTGTTTACCTTGGCATTTGGCTACACTTTTTGTATAGACAGCTCAGACTTTGACCTACACAGTCTGGCAACTTTTCCCTGCTGTGTGTGGCGGGCCTCTCACACTGTAGCAAGGGAGAGCAAAGCATTTTAAATAAATGTGACTGTGAAATCAACTGTAGTACCTGAAACTACTTGAAATTCTCTCTCTCTTTTTTAATTGACTAGCTGTCAAGTGGAAAATGGCCCTTTAAAACACTAGACCATATACTATGGGAACACTCCTGCCTTGGCAGGAGGATTGACTTATTATGTGTTTTGCGTTTCATCACAAAGTCAATGGGAGTTAGGCCCGTAAATATCTTTGTGAATCCCACCTACTGGTTAGTAGGGCTAGAAACCAGATTCTAGGTCAGAGTCCTCAGGACATACTAGCTACTCTCCAAACTACTATCACCATACATACACCCTCACACGTACTTATAATTCTCCATCTTTTCATGCTATAGCAATTGCATTTTGAATGATAAAAAAAAGGCAGATCGGTCCAGATCCATAACGGTATTTAGGCTCCTGGCTTCCATTGACATCAATAGACGTTAGGAGCCTGAATGCCTCTGCGGATCTGGGCCATGGTATCTCCTGCTAAATCCTGCTCATTTTACTGACACCAGTTGTCCCATTAAGCCATAATGCTGTCGTGTCGATCAGCCAGCTTGTGATGAAGCGTGTACTGTCTGGCCGCTATATATCTTAAAGTGCTGCGAGTCCTCTGAGAGCCATTAGATGATAAATGATACTAGCATGCAAAATCCCACTAATCATATGCATTACCATCATGTCCATCATTCATTATACGGTATCGCTTTAGCTATCTGCCACCAAAGAATCAAGTAAGTGGCAAATTAATTTGTCTGGTTTGAGAAACATCTTTTTTTAAAATTTATTTCTGAAGATGAGATTTGAGGTTAGTCAGTATGGACCAGTTCATTAAGACGCGGAGAGGCTGGCAAGACCTGGGGGGGCGGGGGGGGCTGGAAAGAAGTATTTCGGTTCCCACTGTTCAGCGCTTAGCGAGTATATGGGGAGGGGCGACAGGGAAAATATAAAATGAGTACAAATCTTGATTGGCTCGATTAGATCAATCTATTTTCTGTAACATTATGTCTTAGTTCAGTACTTCGCCTCTAAATAATACACAACCATCCAGAGTGAGAGAACCCCAGTTCTGCGCTGGACAGGGCTGGCTCTAAAGCTGAGTGAAGGAACCACACCCAGGGGCAGCCGCGCCGTTAGACCCGCTCGGTGAGCACGGCGCCTAAGGCTGGTCTCCTTGCTGCGCTCCTAGGATGTGCTGGGTTCCTGTGATCACTGGCTCATTTGCTCGCCCTGCCCAAGCAGGAGTATTTATTCAGAACATTCAAAGTTCATGTCACAGCTAAGGGAAGGAGACACAGAGCGGTTAGGTGACGTGGCTAAAGTCTCACATCAGCGAGCCAGGGCAGAGCTAAATAAATTCCCTGCGCTGTGCTCGCATCTAACCAATAGGCAAAGCTCTCTTCCCAGGAGAACTGTCTGCGTATGTTGGACAGAAGCTCTTGTTTAAACACAATTATATTTAAGGAGCAGGAGGAAACGCTGTGTAAGCAATATTAAGGTCAGGGCACTGACAGACACCAATGTCTTTGGAAAGGAAATCTCGCCCTCACTTCTTGTGTCAAGCCGCGCACATGCCACGACCCCTGCACATTTTGGGCACAACTAGGTAAGGGTGTGTGCCAGCCTTCACCACGATTTTCCTTTCTATTAGCTTGTTGTTATAGCATTAAAGTGGCATTAGTCAGCATGTGGTGTGTGGGTCTGTGATCACAGTCATGTCAGAAAAGCCGTTGTGCGGGTTGAGGAACTTTTTCTCCACAACAATTAAATTAAATTAAATTATAAGGAGTTTGTATCTCTCAGATTTATGGCCCAGGCATTAAAAAGTTGGGAGAATCAGGCATGAATACTTTACTTTTTCGTGAGCATCGCATACTAGTATTGTGGGTTTCCCATTGCTGTTTCAATGAGGAAACACTTAATGTTTGCATCAGAATTTCCTTTTTTGGGGGGTGGGGACGGAGTTCTTCGGTCCTTTATTGAACGATATTGAAGTACTAAAAGTTTTAAACACAACCCAATGGGAAGAGAAAAATTTCCAGAGTCAGTACAGGGGCTCTCCCAATGTTGGGTATAACTGTCGAATTATTTAACACTGGAATAATATTTTGGATTTGAGCTAACGGATTGGGTTGGGGGAGTGGGGTTGCAGCAGAAGTATGAAGATGCTCTGAGAACCAGTCTCAGTCCGGGTCAGCAGCAAAGGAATAATAACAATAATAAATCCCTACAGCTAAGCTTTTATTTATAAGTTATACACCAGAATTATTTTAATAGAAGCAAGTGGTCCGCTATATCCAGAGCCAGAAGAGACTTTTTTATGAGCGCTCATTTGATTGCTCGCTATACTGAATTCCGCGCCCCGTGCAATGATCGGGGGTGTGTGTCGTGAATGTGAGGAGCTCACAGTGCACCTGGTTTGTGAGCCTGTCGTTCTGCGATCAGCACGAGAATCACAACTCCAGGGCGACCCCCGCACCGCACCGCAGAGCGAGGGCCCGATCCTGCTCCAGCCCTAAGGAACAGCTCCTCTGAGCTCATTTGCTCTCTTTATGAAGGAGTTACGAACCCACTCTGAACTGAACTGTGATTTAACACCAAATGCCGTGTTAAATCAATAGAGCAGTTTCCTGGGAATTTAGCTTACTTAGAAACGTGACTCCCTGTGTGTTTGTTGCAGGTAACGTTAGCAATGGAATGTCTTCAATGCAATCTGCATCTGGGCTGGACATACGGAAGGAAAGGTGCCTTCACTTTGCAGTACACAAAGTACCCCCCGCACAGACAGCCCCCGCCCCAGACACCTCCTTCTCCTTGCTACTTAAACTCCCACGACTGAAACATTCTGTTAAAGTCGGCGGGAAATCCCCTTGTAAGAATTCAACCAATCTTTACTCCCACCCAGGAAATATTCACGTGGACTCTATGTGCAAACATTATGGTATAAATACCAAGCACAAGTCTTTAAGTGTTGCATTCGTCTGCAGATCACACAGAGTTAAGGGAAGCCTTTTTTATTTATTAGTCTCGGTGCATCTTTTTTTCCTATCAACTATAGAGTCCTAAAATATTTCTCCCTTGTGCTTTGCGTCCCACAAACCGCTGACCACCCCCTTTCACTCTTTGGCAGACATCAATCATTTTCCTGCAGAGGGCTCGGCGAGTTGCACTGAAATGAATGTATTTAAACATCCCTTCAGATCTTTTGATTTCACGTGATCCCAGTTAATAAAGCAGGCAAAGGAGAATCCTTCCGCACTGGATTTTGCTAAGAGCGTTACCTTACAAACTCTGATCCCTGTTTACATTCACCTCAAGATAAATCGTCATCTTCAGCTGGTCTGAGGTGTAAACGTTCTGTGCACTGTACCCACTCATTTTCTAGAACGTGTAGGTAGCTTCCCTGGCAGAAACCGAAGGGTCCCTTTACGGGAGACAGCGTGGAACGCAAGAATAGCCTGGGAGGAGCTAACACAGAAGCCCGAGGCAGCGTTTGAACAAGGAGCTCAACTTTCGTGAACCTTTCTCCCTTCTGAATTACTCAGTTCCATCTCGCGGCAGCCTTGCCATTTGGGCTAATTACTACTCTTTGTTGGCAAAAAGAACAGGAGGATTTGTGGCACCTTAGAGACTAACAAACTTATCTGAGCACAAGCTTTCCTGAGCTACAGCTCACTGCATGGGTGCATGCAGTGGAAAAGGCAGTGGGGAGATTTATATACACAGAGAACATGAAACAATGGGTGTTACCAGACACACTGTAACCAGAGTGATCAGGTGAGGTGAAAAAAGAAAAGGAGGACTTGTGGCACCTTACAGACTAACATGAACTTTCCTGAGCTACAGCTGAATGCATCCGATGAAGTGAGCTGTAGCTCACGAAGGCTTATGGTCAAATAAATTTGTTCGTCTCTAAGGTGCCACAAGTCCTCCTTTTCTTTTTGCGGATACAGACTAAGACGGCTGCTACTCTGAAACCTGCTCTTTATTGGACAGCTAGCGACTGGATTTAATTTACTGAAGACGCACGCAACTAGATTGAAACCCCCAACATTAGAAACCAAGCCACGGTCAACAATGGGCTCAAATCCTGCGCTCCCGTCCGACGTGCAGAAAGGAGGGCATTGGCTAGTTCACTGTGCAGAAGTGGGGGTGGCTGATTCCCACCGCTGCCAACCCTAAAATTATCCTGCTAAAAAGTGCAAGAATGGGTTTGGTTCAGCTGATGTCTGGGAGCGTAAAGCAGGTCACTGCTCCTGCCGCGCTCTGTAGTTGCAGGGCGTTGACAATTTAGGATCATTAAGAACAACAACAAGAGCTCTCAGATCCCACCTCGGGATTTAAACCTGCGCTTCTTACACAGGCCCGAGACTATGTGATTGACCGCAGAGCTTGGAGTATGCTTAACATCCTAGGATTTTATTAGACTTGTCTGCCTTTCCCTTTAACATCATCAGTGCACCACGCTCTGGTTTTTTTGCGTTGAAATTGTGTAACTAGCTACACATGAGCTACACTGGTAGTAATTGGGCACAGTGTATAAGATACACCCCGAGTTCAGCCGACAGCTTTCTCCTGGCTCCTCTTGTAACAGCTCGTGTGTAGGGAGGCTCTCCAGCTGCCGCAGGACAGAGCTTTGCCCCCTAGCAAGTCTTTGGAACTGAACAGCTGGTTAGCATGAGGGTCCTTTGTGTCCGTTTTGCATCGGACTGCAAACAGCATTTGGCTGGACCAGAGAAGGAATGCAAAGGGTATAGCCTTGGGCCCCCGTCTCTGATAGAGGGGGAGACCAGCCCTCGGAGCCGGAGGTTCCAGGGATCCCCCTGGGGCTCTTCTGGTTGTAGGTGGGGTTGGATGTCGCCTCTCTGCCGTTTATACCAACGCTACTGCTAGTAACTACATCCACTGCCCTCCTGCTCCGTGGTCTCTGCTCACCTGAAGGCGGGTCAGAAATGTGTATGAAGGGGCAATATCCATAATTACAGCGTGTAAAATCGAACCGATTTCAGATCGTTACACTCCCATGCCTGCGCCTGGTTCGAGGCGGGTAAGGGGGGCCCTGAAGTTCAGGCGCAAGGAGCAAACCCCAACGAAACAGGGAGCGCGTTGGTGTAAAATGACTTCCTTCGGAATTCCCCAAAGCCAGCCCAACCTCAGCACATGCTGGGGGTGGTGTCCGGTGTCTGGCGGCGCCTCTTGAGATGACCTTGCTGGGTCAGGCGCGAACCGAACCTGTGAACCCCCCAGGGAGCCGTTCCCAACAGGGCAGCGATGCAAGGCGGCTATCTGGCCCCCAGCAACTGGAGTGTTGGGCTTCTGACGGCAGGCCTTGTCTCGCAGCCCCGAGCCAGGGAAACCCCCAGTTTTGTCACGACTAAGGGCTGCCGGAGGAGATTTTAAGGTCAAGACTCCACCGTAGAAGATCAAAGCATCCTAGCTGATGAAATCATGTGACCTGTTCCGTCTCCTCTTTCACGAGACCATCTCTAGATCTGAAATACCAAGGGAAGGTGCCCTAGACACGCCTGGCATTTTAATATAGGTGCCTGGATAGTCCCATCCGGGGGGCGGGGGAGGAGGCTGATGTGATTTTTTATTTTTAACCCTGTGCTAGATTTTACAGCATTATCCTAGCGGGAAGAGAGGCTGTCCCTCCTGAACTAGGCGATGTTGATCACGTTTGACAGCGGTCGTCCCCTACGTTCACACGGGTCTCTATGGTTCTATTTTTTCTAATCCCCACACTTTCATGAATGAGTAGGGACGAGCCTACAAAGCGGAACTGCTGATTTCCCCTCCCCCGGTCCCCAACAGAGCTTCCACCTCTCTGTTTATACGAGCCCCCACACCTACTTCATTACAGATCCTGTTTGCCCGGGACTGGCACTTGGTACTTAGGACGCTCAAATGGAACCGCTCGCACTTTCTAAGAGCCTTTAATATATTTTCAATTGCTGTAAGTCATGTTTTGATTGAATTTAGCGCTGATTAGAGTTGAGCATCAGTTTACACAACAAGAATTTGTTTCATTCAGCTAAATGAGCATGACGTGTTCGGTTTATGAGCCATATAGCTAATGGTAATGACCAGAGCTGATTGATTTCTAATGTGATTGTAATTACATAAATGTAAGGGAATTAAAAAAAAATCAACACACCGTTAATTGGGATTTTTTTTGGGGGGGGGGACGGGGAGGGTAGTGGAGAAGAAGGGGAGTTACCAACCCACCCCGGTTGTATGAACAATAAATGTGCCTATATAAACGAATAGCTCTGGGCTTTGTTTAAAGGGAAAAGTACAATGCACTTAACTCACTGAATGCTTAAGCTATATATCCTGCATTGCACCATATCACTTCCTCTCTGCTAACCCCCTAGGCACTTCCTAGATCCCAATAAGTTTGCTCAGAAGCCTCACACACTTGTTTCTCGAAGAACATGCACACAAAGCATTTCACAGGCTGGGGACCGATTTCCCAGGCAACTCCTTCCTAGCCCGGGTGCACTGTCTATGTACTTTGCCAGCCCGCTCCCAACTCCACTCTCCGTAGAAGTCTGACGGCCGCCAGCAACCGGGGCTGCCTGCTCCGGGATCAACGGGGTGGCGGGGCCGTGTGAACGCTCGCGCCGAAGCATCCAGCTCTCTCTGGGTGTGGAAGGGCACCGAGGCGTGCAGAGGCCTGGGAGGGGAGTTTCAGCCATCATCAGTGTTTTGGGTCACTGAGCGACTGGCGGGAGCGCCTGTAGTTACACAGCCAGCAAGGCGGCGCCTCGCCCGCTGGCTCTCTCCGCGGGAGGCACCAAGATAACCCGCAGCGAACCCTGGTTGGGAGACAGACACAGCACCAGCCTCCGCATTCGCGGGTGGAGGGCTCGGCGGGCAGAGACGGATGAGGACGCCGGATTTGCAACAGGTAAACAGCAGGGGCGGGTCTGCAGGCTCCTCGGGCCGGAAGCTGGGGAGGGAGGGAGAGGAGGCTGGAGGCTGGAGCTGGACCGCTGTAGGGCACAGTCACCGGGCCGCCTGCGTGCAGACCCGTAGGCCGTTTCTCGTGCTTGCAAACGGACGAGCTGCCGCTAACGGGCGCGGTTGTTAGCGTGTCAATGGGCCGGGTGCAGCTTCGGGGGAACGTGGCTAAAATCTGGGTTCGAGCGACCCCTCAACGTCCCTCAGACTTCCCCGGGGCCCACGTCCGCGCGGGGTGCAAGGCGCGAGGCGACAACAGGCTTTGGGGGTCTCTCCTGGGAGAACTAGGGCTAGGGATGCACCTGGTGGTAGCTTTTAGCGGGGGGGGGGGCTTTGCTCGGCTAAGGCACGTGCTTTGGGGGGGACAGTGGACGCACTCCCAAAGGCCACTGCCTGTCCGGCGTTTGGCAGGAGCCCAGCTGCGAGGGGAGGGCTGGCGGGGTGTGGGCCGTGTGTACACCTATTCGGCGTGTGTAAAACACTCGGGCCCTTGCTACAATAGTGGACTTCAAAGCCACGCCGGCGCCGGAGTCACTCAGCTAGGGGCGCAGCGTCCTGCGCCAGTTACGACGCCAGCTCCAAGTTTCCAGGGGGACCCGCGAGTTTCCCGAAGTTCCGCTAAACCGGGACGGGGGTAGGAAAGAGACCCAGATTTCAGCCTGCGGGTGAGCGCGCTCCCCCGTCCAACCCGCCTGCAGACTTGGGCTGGTGTCCCGTCCCCGGCCCGTCCATGCGCCCTCCTCTGTTCTGGCCCCGGCTGCTGGAAGCCCTCCCGACGCCAGCACGCTCAACGCTGCCGACGGTCACGGGAAAGTTGCCAGCCCCAGGCCCTGTGGGTTCTCCGGCCTTTGCTGGCTCGAAGCAGCGTGGGGGCAGCATGCGAAAGCTGGCTTGTGCCAAGGGGACGGTGTCTTGGCCATGAGGCCTCTCTGCAGAGCTGGTGTAATGTATTGTCGCTCACCTGCGCCATTGTTGTAAGGGGAATGAAACAAAGCTCCTTTGCCCTGAAATGGGTATGTGGGATGGCCAATTATAGGGAAATAGTTTTTATCTCTAAGCAACATCTGATACTCGGCACAGAAGGAAAAAGTACAGCCTCCCCCCCCCCCAACACTGAATGCGTTTAGAGAGGACTCCAACCTGTACCATAACCAATAAAGGCTACAATCCTTTAAATGCCCAAATAGTGATACCTGCCTCAGGTGCATCTCACCTGCAATGAGACTATCAGGCCTTCCAGTGAATGGAGTGGGCAACCCCCCAAATAAATACAAACAGATGCCAGCTCTCTAGTTTTCTCTTTGATGAGCTCTTGACTGAAGCTTAAACTCCTCCATTGTTCTCCCACGACTCGTTGCGGCTGGGGTTGGTAGCCGTGGTAGTAGAGAGCTGGGCAGATCTGTTGCATGTCTCTTGTCCTGCGTGAGATGGGTTTATTGTACCTTCTGCTGGAGTCTCTGTAGATGAGTTGTTGGGCTGCTTTGCTGTCATCACATCCAGAGGTGCTGGAACAATTTGTATAGTGGGGTTGCTGAGAGCAATTGAACCAAACTGTAAACCCTGGATATAATGGAAACCCCTTCAAGCCTGGGGGTACAGCAGCACCCCTAGCATCTTGATCACATCCTTCCACTGCTTTAGAACATCCAGAGAGGGGGTGAATACTTTTTAATTAGTTAAATTTAGCTGAGTTCAAAACCTCAAATATATAAACCCTCCATCATCAAATGTTTCCCTTCTCCAGAAAGGCTGAGGGAGGTCTGTCACAGATGCTGCAAGTCAGTGTTTATATCATTTTCCTCTGGGAGTGGGCTGTTTTGTTTCAAACCCTCATTAGAAGTTGATGTATTTGGATAAGAATATTATAAGATATTCTAGCATCACACAGACATTTAAAGCTGGGAAGGAAATTTACAGACAGCACTTTATAGTTACCTTGGAAACTCTTCAGGGCAAGGAGTGTCTCTTATTCTATAACTGTACAATGGGGTCTTGATCTTGGTTGGGGGTCTTCAGATGCTACTATAATACAAAAAGGAACAAATGAATTACCATATTGGAACAGACCTGAGGTCCATCCACTGTAGTCCAGTATTCTGCCTGACAGTAGTACCTTTAGGGGAAGGTGTAAGAACCCAGCAATAGGCAGACATGGCTAACCATGGATATAAGCTCTCATCCTGATCTCTGATAATTAGAAATTGACTTAACACCTGACATATGAGGTTTAATATCCCTTCCAGAATATTGTTAATTCTAATAGCTCTGGATATTCATGTTTATAAATGTCCTTGTTGCAAATGTATAGCCCCGTCCTGCTGCCCTTAAACACACAGACAGTTTCATTGACTTCAGTAGGTCTTCTTGCATGGGTCAGAAATTACTCGGATGCATAAGGATTTGCAGGATCAAATTCATATTAACCTTCTGGTCTATTTTTTTTCCTAGTTTGACCATTGGTCTACATATCTGTTATGTGAATGACCAGAGCTTTCTAGATCATACAAAACCCCGTAACCACTTCATACAGCCATGTAATATATTGACAAAGAATATCTGTGAGGCAGTATATGGATATGTAATCTGAAAAGGCATTTCCAATATAGTTTGAAAACTGTTGAGTCCACAAACTAGGTCAACAACATACTTATTTTGTCTTGGGCAATCGGATAATCTGGAGTCAAGTTGCTCTTTTTCTGCAACAGCAGATTATGGTGGGTCTTTATGTTTAAAAAAATATGACGTTCATAATATTACTTCACAAGCGCACACTGGAGGAGCAACTATCTTTTGTAACCAGCGGTATAAATACTAGATGCTGAGGGCTGAGAAAAGTTCTGTAGGTGGTAACAACTCAGAAGATATTTGGTCTTTCTTGTGTTCTTCCTCCCTGCCAGAATTACTTCCTTGGGCAATGTCTGCATATTCATTTGTATTTCTTCAGTTTATCTCTGCTGAAAATTGCCTTTCAGGTATTGTAGAATTTCAGGATCTATCAGGAGCTAATATATAATTATCTATTGATATTTCTGTGGCACCAAATGCGATGAATAACTCTGTGTATATTTTTTGGGTTGGCATAGAAAGTGCTGCAGTACAGGTGGAAAGGAATTGGCAGATTTTGGAGATGAAGAAATAGTAGGATGTAGCAAAAGCATTGTTCAGGACTGAAGAGTGTGGAGTTGAAAATAACACTGTGTTTGCAAACCTGAGGATGGTTGAATTGCCAGTGGTGATCAAAATATGTGTGTGGGGGGAGGAAGGCTAGGGAGAAAAGATAAGGAGTTCACTTTGCCTCATGTTTAGCTTGATGTGATGGTGGACCTTCCAGGCAGAGAGATCAGTCAGAGATGTGAGTCTGAATGGAGGAGGAAAGGTGTCGCTGGGAGTTCTCCATCATGACCAATGCATCTTTGTACTATGACTCTGCTCCTTCATTACTCCCATCAGGCAGTGTGACTATATCTGGGTACCCCAGAAGAGCCTTTCAGTTGGGGAACCCACCGCTGCAATTTACCCAAGGTTCAGTTTACTCTGTCTGGTCCAAACTACTGTGCTACTCTAGATAGAGTATCTGTGTGTGAATACAGACAGAAAGGGGGTCAGGCAGGGAATTTATCTGAGCTATATATATGTTGGGACTGGGAATGGTTAGAGAACTAGTAGATGGGATTTCCTATGCAGGACGAGTGTGACTGTATGCTGTGACACTTCTGTCTCTGAGAGAAAGATGGGAAGACATCTTGCTTCTTCTGAATTTCAAGCTCTTATCAGTACTCTAAGGGTATGTCTACACAATGAAATTAGGTCGAATTTATAGAGGTCGTTTTTTTGGAAATCGGTTTTATATGTTTGAGTGTGTGTGTCCCCACAGAAAATGCTGTAAGTGCATTAACTCGGCGGAGTGCTTCCACACTACTGAGGCAAGCGTCAACTTCTGGAGTGTTGCACTGTGGGTAGCTATCCCACAGTTCCCGCAGTCTCCGGAAATGAGATTCAAAAGTTCGCGGTTCTTTTCCTGTCTACCTGGCCAGTGCATCTGAGTTGAGAGTGCTGGCCAGAGCGGTCACAATAGAGCACTCTGGGATAGCTCCCGGAGGCTAATACCATCGAATTGTGTCCACAGTACCCCAAATTCGACCCGGCAAGGCCAATTTAAGCGCTAATCCACTTGTCAGGGGTGGAGTAAGGAAATTGATTTTAAGAGCCCTTTAAGTCGAAAAAAAGGGCTTCATCGTGTGGATGGGTGCAGGTTTACATTGATTTAACGCTGCTAAATTCGACCTAAAGTCCTAGTGTAGACCAGGGCTAAGAATTTTCCTGTTGCTCCAGAAGAGGCGGCAATGTTGTTGCTGGAAATGAAAAACAAGCCACACCCAATATTGGGGCATATAGAGTTGTATGTAGCATCTGGTGTCTACTGACCAGTAGAAACCCACAAGTGTTCCCATAGCTAGCACCGTGTATGCTTTTATTTTTGCATTTATGGTGTACATGCACAGAGGTGCACACAAGTATGTGGAGGATGTGATATGATAGCTGTTCCACAGCCCTAACATTGCCCATTTTTTCAATGCTTTGGTAAATCTATCCATATTTCAACATGTGCAAGAGATATCTGGTACTGTGTATTCCATAAAGCAAGAGAAGGGAAAAAATTCCTAAAGTAATGACAAATATATATAGCCTTGTCTTAAGATAAAAAAAGTGCAGTAACTTTTGTATGTATGCAATATATAATATGTAAATGGCTCACATCAAAGATAGAATAAAAACTGTACATAGTATAACAAAGGTACCTCTTTAAAAGGTTAGTGCTGGCAGTCTGAAGAATAAAGGCTTAGGAAAAGAATGTTGGCAGATCTCTGCACCCTGACTGCCACTAAAGTTAAGAGTTTCAAAATGTTTCCTTTGAGCGTTAGTGCATGGGGAAGTTTGCAGAAGTGC